GACTGGGGAGGCCTGCTGGGGAGGTGTGGCAGCGATGATGAAGAGTTGGGGTGTGTGTCGGGGGGGGGGCTGCGATACAAGGGACATGAGGAGGCAAAACCCTCAGCCTTGGTGACTGATGGGATGAGGCTGAGTGGGAGGAGGAGGACAGCTCAGAGGCCTGGTCAGAGGGACAGGAGCAGCAGCAGCTGAGGGAAACGACTTGCATTTTCCCTCATTTACGCAGAGGGTACTGAGGTACACTGTATGTGTGGGGGTCTCATGAACTATGTAGGAGTCCCTCCAACACAAACTAAAGCAAACCAACACAAACGTGTGGCAAGCTTATCCTTCAAGAAAGATGAAGACTCCTGCACACCCTCACCTACTATCCATCTCACAATTTACCTCAGAAGGTTCTTGGAAACCATCGTGAGGTTTTGCATCAGAAATTTGGATTCAGGTTCAGCTAGCAAGTGGTGACACCCATCACCAAGTGGCTCACCCCTCCTGGCATGGGCGCCCATCAGGTCACTGCAGGGACCATCCAGTCTCTTCGCCGGAGTAAGTTTGGGGCTCTTTCTGGGCCACGCGGCCTCTTCCAAAGTTGCCCTTTGTCTGGAGTCTGTCTCCTGGTGCTGTTTTCTGGGATTTCTCAAAGAGCAGCCACAAAGCCACACTCACCCCCCACGTTCTTTCCCTTCTTGGATGGTGAATTTTCTGGGTACCAACGCTTCTCCTCCCTAAAAGGACAAGCTCAGCAGGAGGGAACTGGGGAAAGGGCACAGGATGGGGGCAAAATGGAGATTTGACTAAAGTCTTCCCTCTCCTGCACTTTTAGTTTAAAGGATTATGAATTAAGACTATCATATAAGAAAACATTTCGCAGTTTATTACAATATTTATATCATTGTATTGCTATCTATCTGCTGACATTTCTCTTTCTAGAATATTTGCCTCCTAGGCCAAAAAACATGAGTGTGTGTGTGCAAACATACAGCGGCATTTTTGCTTAACTGATGCTTTGGATGAAGTCCGACCGTGCAGCATTATTATGTATCATTCATGATGGAGCTGATCAAAGCGATGAGAGCGGTCAAGGTGAGCTTCTTCTCCAGGCCAGGAGAGGGAATGAGCCACGGGAGGAGCAGCCTTTCTCTGCAGCCGGCCCGGCTCTTGAACCGGAGAGAACAGGAGTCTCTGGGACTGGTTTTCACCTGGGTAAGAAGGGCCTTCGGGGCGTCGCAAGGCCGACAGCAGCGCCTGACACACACAGCCTTCTGGGATCTGATCCTGTCTGCCCACATGCCCTCTGCTCAAAAAGGCTTACATTTTCTCAAGTGCGCAGGCAGGGTCATGCTTTGTTTTTGCTCCAGCCACTCTCCACCTGGCTCAGGTCCTCAAGCCTCCTGTGTTCCAGCTCTGCTCACTCAAGTACCTCCTTGCAAAAGCCTTCCCAGTTCCTCCTGGCTCTGTGCTTGCTTGGGACTGACTACACCTGCTGCCTTTTTCTACTCTTTGAGTAAAAGGGCCCAACTGGAGCTGGGTCCCAACACTCAGCACACATCAGTCTTCGCTGAGTGACCATGTTGAGCAGTTGGGTAGTGAGAGAGAGAGCCCACAAGCCCAGGTCACTTGCTGTGGCACAGGTGAGCCATAGTTTCTCTGGGGCCACCTGGCTTACCCGGTAAGTATAAAGAGGGTTATGTCGCCACCTACTGTCCAGTTTGCTTTGCAAAAGTCAGCTGGGGCCTTCTGGCCCTTGCCGTGAGGGAAAAAGGGAGCTAAAATCCTCATTCCGAAGACAGTAAATGGCCTTCCGTGGAGAAACAGGGAAGAGGTCCTTGACAGCTTGGTGGAACGGGTCATATTCCAAGTTTGAACTGTTCCCAGTTCAGCTCTATGGAACCTGGGGCAATCCTTGCTCCCCTGGGCCCAGCCACCTTCTCTCAAATGAGATGGTAAGTTGTCAGTGCTGCTGGTAGAGTCCAGGGTTGAAGTAAGGAGAGGCTCCCAGAGGAGGGAGGGGCTGAACACCAGGGTTCTGTGGTGAGGATGATGAAGCCCCTTAGAGAGTCAGTTTAGTAACCTCTCTAAGCTAGCTTTTTCCTTCCTTGGTAAGTGCAGGTGCCACCACTCGCCTCACTGAGTTGTCATGAGAATGAACTGAAGTGTGCTTTGAGGGCCCTGGCCAGCCTCCCAGATGGCAGCCAACATTACCCTGATACCACACTGCCCAAGATGCCATGGGGAGGCTGGCTTCGTAATACCTCATGACACACATTTTGCAAGAATGCATTCAAAAGTAAAGACACACATGAAACACATTAACATGGTGGCCTATGGGAGAGGGTATGGGGATACAGAGAATAAGTGAAATAGGAGGACCTTGCACAGATTACTGGTGATAATGTACCATGACTGAGGAGCATAATCAACTCTAGTCTCTGCACCCGAGGTTAAAAAGGGGGACTAAACCCCCAAGCCCACTTCTGGTGAAAAATGGTTTACTGAGAACTGTGTGATGTGGCTGAATGAGGCCAGCGCCACCTGAGAGCCACCTCAGTTGCCACATGCTGCCCACCTGAGTGGGGAGCCCTTTCAGAAGTTCTTTTTTGGAGATCATCAATAAACAAGCTGGTTTCATTTTTCTTCGGGGCCACAGGTCTCCCTGGCAGAATCAGGAGACACCAGTGTCCCACTCAGACGCATGAGTGCTGGGCGAGGGGCAACCAGCTGGTCTGCCCTCAAAGCCCTCCCCATGAGTGCTGCCCACCTGCTCCTGCAGGCCCGGCTGCTCCTGCCCCTCTAATTCCCCTCCACAGTTCACACTGCAGCCAATTACCTTTCCTTCTAGTCTTTAATTACACTAATAACAACAGAAACGTCTTAAAACTACATAGATGCCCTCAGAACAAAGTATGAAAGCCGCCTTTACCTCCCATGCTGCGCTCGCTGGAAGGGCCATTGTGAAGTTTGGAGCACATTCATCCAGTCCTTTATTCACACTCCATGCATTACTCTCCAGCTTCTACCTTAGACTTTAAAAGCCACCAAGTGTCCCCAGCATAGCTGTACTGTTATTTCTCTCATCACCCTCCTTTGAAGGACTTACAGTTGTGTCCAATTTTACCATGTCATCAACAATGGTGCAACCCTTTTAGTCCACAGTCTAAATGGTTTTGAAGGAAAGGATAGAGTCCTGCCAGTAGGATTGCTGGGTTCAAGAGTGTATATTCTTAAACTTTTAATACTTTCAGACTGCTTTCCCAAAAGCTTTTACCCTGGAGTAATCTTCTAGAAACACCAATCTCATGACACTCCTCTGCTCAAGTTCTCTCAGCAACTCTTCTCCAAGATAAGGCCTGGAAAGGAGGCTGAACAGAGAGGCTGGGCATGAAGGGCCAGTCCCGCCACTGGAGGGTCCTGTGTGCACCACATGTGAGTGCATGCATGTTGTGGAGGTGGAGGCAAGGCTGAGGATGAGTCAAGTGGTGGGAACTGAGGCAGAGGAGGTCCATGCAGGCTAATGAGTAAAGACACTGGAGTGGCAAAGATGGACAGCAGGGCTGACAGACTGGTTTGCTGTACGGCCACACCAGAGTCCAAAGAGGAAAGAGACAGACAGCAGTGCGGGGAAACCTTGCCAGTTGCTGGAACAGGGCTTGGCAGAGCAGGAAGATGGTTCTGATCTGGGTCCTTCAGAATCTGGAGGGACTGAGGGACGTCTAACCCTAGGTGAACCAGGCCATGGTCATGAGGTCCGGAGGTGCAGATTTGGGAACCACCAGCAAGGTGCTCATGGCCTCTAAGGAAAATGACTCTTCTATCATTCCAGCAGCCCAGGCTGAAGGAAGCACCTGAGAAGGGCAGGAGTCTCCTGGGGGAGGCCCCTAGAACTCAGGTCCTGGGCAGCACCACCCTCCCCCTCCATCCCCAGGCAGAGGCGGGGCCCAGTCTGCTCCAGAAGGACTTGGTTTCTGCCCTCTAAGCAGATCCTGTCAGTAGGGGGGCTCTGGAAGGTGGGGGCACAGGCCAGGTGCTTCCCTGGGTCAGGGAACATGCCCAGCCCTCCAGCGAGGCCTGTGGTCTGGTTGGGTCACTGGTCAAACCTCAGCCACTGATTGTCTGAATTATATTATGAAATGCTCTAAAGTGTTTTTTGAAGGGTGAGAGGCAGGAGGGGTGGCAATGAGAAGAGTGAAACCAAAGGGTGGCTCAAGGGGTAGGAGAAAATCCAAGTGTGGAAGGTTGGAAACTCAGGAACGATAATGTCCCAGCAAGGAGGAGGCTTCAGAGTGTGATAAAATCAAGTATAGTGAAGACAGAGACATGCCTGCGGGATCAGACTGCCAGGCAGAGGGTGAGATGGCAGGAAGGCGGCAGGCTGAGGAATAACTGGCAGTGAGACAGTGGAGACAACACCCTGAAGGTTGGCCAGGAAGAAAGACAGGGTCAGGGAAGGTAAAGAGGGAGGACATGGAGCTGACAAAAGAGTCCAAGGGCACTATGGGTGTTGTGGGAAAGGCTGGGCAGCTTACCTCCAGATAGGAACACATAACTGTGGGGTGGATAGCAGGAGCACAGCCAACTGATGGTGTGGGGGTCAGCCCAGGAGGGCGTGCAGAACACAGAGGCACCACAGCTGCCCTGCCAGGGAGTCAGGGCCCAGCCCAGGGAGGTGTCACAGGAAGCCCTGGGGTTTAGGGTGCAGGAGGACTAGCTGGCTCCAAGGTTTCCAATTAACTGTCTCAAAACAGCTCCGCACAGAAGGGAGCAGGTTTCAAGGGAGCCCCAATCCAAATGCTCAAGCATTTCATTATTAGGTAAATAGAAAAGAATTGCTCTGGTTCTAGAAAACAAATCCAATAACCCCTCTTGCTGATCCAACTGGTCTTAACGAATGGCTGTCCTACCCCACCTACTGACTTTACAAGTTTAGTTGAATTCACAGTTAATTTATACTGGATCTTGCAAGGATAAGGAAGTGTTTTATTTATTTACAACAAAAACATCTGTAACATAATTCTCCCTCTTCAAAACAGAGAACCCTATAAAATACACACAGCAATCTCTAGTTGTATTTACCCAGGGACATTAGCAGCCAGAAGGGGGGTTGGGACTGGGAGAAAAGCCAAAAACAAATTCCAATAAAAAAAACCCAAAACCAAGAAACTGCCCCCCCAAAAATAGCATTTTCTACTTGTCAGTAGCTACACTTGCTCTGTGTATGAAAATATGAAACAGAAAACAGCACCTGTGAAAACACAGTTCAGCAGCGTCAGAGATGAGGCAATGACCAGGGCTGTGGAATTCCAGCCCCTCTTCCAAGCAGGCCACTGTGACACTGTCTGCCACAGGGAGTTCTTTCTTTCCAAAAAGCCCCCGCCACGCACACCAAATAACGATGGAGAACTTGAGCAGCCTCACTTCTCTTGCTTGTAGTTAGGTGAAGTATCTAGGAATCAAACACAGCAGTTAGAAACACAGCGGGACTCAGGCATCCAAAGCAAAGGTGCTGCCATGGTCACAGATATGTAGGGGCCAAAGCCAGCCCTGGGTTTGCGGTGACACTATTTAACTGGAAGTGCCGGACAGATGCCATTACTGTACTGCCCCTACTGGATGGGTTCTGGGAAATGGTTACAATAAATATGGTGGCTCTGAAACTTCCAGTCAAGAACAAAGGACAGCTGCAGAAAGTCAGAACAAAGGACCCTAAAATTGTCCAGCTCAACGTCTTCATCTTTCAGATGAGGCCCCAAAATAAGTAATTTCTGAATGTAGATAAAGCTTTATTCATTAGTCTTTCTCAACTGTTCCCCAAGGAGCGACTTCCTTAAACACTTAAATATGTGAAAAACACCTCCAAAGAGCCAATGTAAGCAACTCTTTTCAATGGGGTCCTACACACACCTGTAACAAATACGGGGGCAGACCAAGCCACTCAGGATGTTAACCATATGACAAATCTGCACAAACCCTTCATGGGCAGCTCCACATACAATTGGCATCTAACCACACAGATAATACACCCGTGCTGATGGCAGAGAGACAATGCGGTAGTTTATCTAGAACCAGGAGACTTGGGTTGACTCTTCGGCCCCACTGTTTCCTGTTCTGTGATCCTGGGTAAGTCACACATCCTCTGTGTCCTCACCTATAAAATGTGCATGACAATATGTCCTTCACTGAGCTGTTACAAGACCGGTGTGACAGTTATCTGAAGGAGGGTACATAAAGCTATTCTAACAACAGATTGATAGTTCTGCAGTTATCTCCAGCCCACCACCCATCCCTCCCAATTCCCTTGGAGCCTAACACTGGCCCTCGAGGCAGGTAAAACGCTGGTGCACCAAGGGCACTGGCTGGAGGCACCTTCCCGTCACTGGTGTACTGGTGTGAGCAGCTGTCTGGGTCACGCC